ACAGACAACCTCTCGTCAATATGCGTTTTTTGCATTGCATTACTGCAAAAAACGCATAAAAACTGGCACGTTTACTGTGATTCGTCAAAATTTTCAAAGTATTCAGTAGAAATTAATCGTTCAAGCACTGTTGAAACTGTTAATTTATCAAATTTCATAAAATTCAGGAAACCGGAACAGGCAAGAAAATTGATGCAACGAGCAACAGCAATGCCACCACGAAAAACGCACTATTTCGATGAAACGGAGCCAGTTCAGAATCGTGTATACAAATCTTTAAAGGTAATTTTCTAACATTCGGCATAATTTAACGATATGAATTATGAATTATTTAATTAGATCGTCCCCTTCATTAAAATTTTTCACTGTTTTTTTGTTTGCACATTTTTTGCAGTCGAAATTAAACGGGCAAATGCTGGAAGGTTTTTTGAATTTTGTGAACAATGATGAATGACTGTCTATTTTTTGCTCTCAGGCTGTTTGCACCTGGCGATCTTAGTTGGAACAGGGCGGGTTTGGATCATGGTGGTTAATTATTTGCCCTCAAACTATGCAGATAGCAATTTTTCCAGTTATTTTGACCAGTGTTTCATCATCTGCTCATCAACCCGGCTAAAGATCCTCGATATTCATTTTATCTCCTCAAATTTGGGTTATTAAACGTATTCCTGACATTTTTTGTCTTCAGGTCTGGTCGCTGTATGCAGACATTGAAGAAGCATTTGGTACACTGGAATCCTGTCAGGCAGTTTATGAGCGAATAATTGATCTGCGAATCGCCACCCCACAAATTATCATTAATTATGCGAAATTTTTGGAAGAAAACAATTATTTTGAAAATGCTTTCAAGGTATTTTTTTTCTCACTCATGTTTTTATTCAGGCGGTTGGAACAGTCGTAGCTTATCCAGTTTTCTTTTTTTTCAGACTTTTTTTGATTTTGGTTTTGATTTGTTTCTAATTTTTGGGTAAAAGTCATGCATTTTGCTACAAGTGAAGTTGAAAAATTTCTTACTTCGTGGTCTATCGCGTGTGCTTTTTAGACCTACGAGAAAGGCATTGCATTATTCAAATGGCCAATTGTGAACGAAATATGGACGGTGTATCTAGTGAAGTTCTTAAATCGTTATGTAAGTCCCACATTTGTCTCTTTTTTTGCTAACTCAGCTAAGAAATTATTTTCCGCAGATGGTACAGTCAGTCCTTCTACGATTCGTTCATTCGTTTCGATGACAAATTAATACTGACGCATACCAGGGAGTCAAACCCGTCATCAAATATTTGTGAAAAACTTTGAAAAAGGCGGCTATTTATAGTCTTGCCAGTAAATGGTTGCTTTTGGCATTTGCTATCGCTTGAGCTGTTTCACAAATGACTGTGTTTCTTATAAAAACATGGAGGAGTTTTGAATTTAACTGCTAGACAGTTTCTTTCTTCTACAAATTGCATGGAACAATTGATAAGTTGTTTGGATGTTTGCAGGGTGGCAAGAAATTGGAGCGTGCCCGTGATCTCTTCGAACAGTGCCTTGAGAATTGCCCATCAAAATTTGCAATGAGTTAGTTTTTTGCTGTTAAGTCTTCTGGATTTTGTTGCTTCTCGTGCAGTATGCAGATATTTTACTTGTTTGCATGAATAACTTCAGGCGCTTACATCCGCAGCTGTTCCAGACATAAGCGCCTGAAGTTTTTTTATTATTTTTTGCTGCAATTTTTTTTTATGCGTTTTGTGCTGTGTAACAGCAGTACAAAACGCATATTGTTACGGGGTTGTCT